GCCCAGGAAGGTACATGAGGCCAATGGGGATTGAACCCAAGACCTCCTGAATGCCACTTGCGTGCCTTACCAACTGAGCTAGGCCGCTGGATCAAAGTGGCTATTAGTAAGTGTGCGTAACGTATATACAGTGGTTTAATTGCGATTCAGGAATGACCCGTTGAGGACTGATCGTCTAAGCTAAGCAGCTAAGCAGCTAAGCCGCTCCGCGGCTAACTTAAAATGGCTATGAGTGAGTAAGTGGCTGACAGGTGCAAAATGTCTAAACGGCCGAACCATGCTGTGAAAAAAAAAAAGAAAAAAGAAAAAAAGATGTAGGTGATTCTCGGATCGAGGCGTCTCGTGGACCGACCGTCTAAACTAAGTGGCTGTCGTCTTCCGCGGAATAGAGCGCACGGGAATTATAGCTGTATTGGGTCAACTTCTTGTCTAGATTCGGCGCTAATGACCGTGCGCTCTACTTTCGGTGCACGGGTGACTGACTCAGGGATCTAGGCCCGTGAAGCGCCGAGCTTCTAAACTCTGTGGCTAATAAATGGCGCAGGGGCAAAATTGTAAACTGGTGAGGGGGTGCAGGGGCAAAATTGCAAACTGGTAAGGGCCAGCCCTCCCGGTGTGAGGGACATAAGATACTAAATCTAGCCTAGCCCATTTTGCGCCACAGGTCTGTTGTAGCGTGGAGTCCAGAGCTTGGGGAGGAATAGGTAGCAGGGCCGAGGTCCCACTAGCAAAGAGGATAGGATCAGGCTCCTGAATCTGGATGTGTTTTATGCAGAGGTGCAGAAAAGCAGTTCAATCTCGATTTCCTGCACCTGTCCACAATTACGTCCAGATTCAGGCACTCAATCCGATCCTTTTGCTACCGTCTTCCCCCGATACAAGCTATATTTCCGGCCAGATACAGCCAAAATAAGGGTGCGTTGTGTTGGAGGAAAGACGGTAGTGGGACCACGCCCCAGGTGCTTGCCCCGGAAGAGCGACAGCGAATCCGTCCGTCGGGGAAAAGGATACGGGCATAGGCAGACTACCGGATTTTCTCTAGTGAATCTGGTCGACATGCGGCTTAGATTCTTTCAGTCGGCTGCTGACTGCCGGACCGGCACAGAAATAAGGGCGGACAAATTTGACCACGTGGCTGTCACGCCCATGTGATTCACTCACACATGTCTGTCACGCCCATGTGGCTGAATGGCAAACACATGTTAATGTTAGGGTCTCGTTAGACACTCCTAAAAGAATGGTAAAATTTTTAGGGCGAGTCCTAAAGGATTTTTAGGATTTAGTGCGGCGTTGTTACACGCAATCCTAAAAATCATCATCTTTTAGGATTCGTCCTAGAAAGGTCTCCTGCGGCCGGTTTTCATATGTGTATACGCGCGTCGACCCACAGAAAACCTCCGATGTCCTACCACTGACCCGATGGACCGCTTCTGCACCAGCAAGTGTCGACGGTGCCATGCATGCAACACAAAGAGTCTGTGAAATGCGGGAATCCTAAATTTTTCAGTAGGTAGGGGGCTACAGGAAAATTGAGGACGATTTTGCCTGGGGAATCCTAAATCCTTTAGGACTCGTCCTGACGCCGTTTTCACATTTTCGATCTCAAAATTGGATTTAGGAAAAACAGGCACTTTTAGGAGTGTCTAATGAGACCGTTAGTGTAAGAAAAGGGGCCCTGTGTCGTGTTTCGAATGTGAGCACGACAACCTGTCTGTCCGCAGGCCGATATAAGCAGTAAATAAATGGAAAATGACTATATTAATTGGAAAAAATCCTCTAAGTAAACAGAAGGGAAATCCCACTAAGTCCTGCGGGACATCTGTTAAAATTGGAACGATACAGAGAAAGAAGATTAGCATGGCCCCTGTGCTTTCAAGGATGACACGCATAAATTGAGATATGGTCCAGAAAAATAAAAATAAAAAATCCCACTAAGTCCTTCGGGACATCCGTTAAAATTGGAACGATACAGAGAAAGAAGATTAGCTTGGCCCCTGCGCTTTCAAGGATGACACGCATAAATCGAGAAATGGCCCCAAAAAAAAAAAAAAAAAAAAAAAAAAAACGCTACCGTCTTCACACGAATAGAGCGCCCGGTCCTTATCGGTGCATCTGGACCGAAAGTTGTGTCAAATACAGATATAATGACCGGGCGT